CCTTCGAAAAATATAAGCTCCGGGGCTTATTTTCGGAATTTTACGGTATATTCCGACTAACCTGACGAAATTAAACAGCCTTTTTGTTTTTCACGCATGCGCAAAAGCCAAAATTTTTCTTCTTTTTCCTTCCTTATTGTTCACATTATCGTCTTTCGTTTGCTTGGAATTGTGGCTGGTTTCCTTTTAAGGAAAGGAATAAACTTAATTTTCAAAAAGTAGTACGTGAACAGCGAGATTGGCATTGGTTTTTTCCCCAAAATATTACCTTTTTTGTGAGTGTATCTCATATATTAGTCTATGAAGCAAAGCACGGCACCGTTCTACAAAAAAACGTACTCATGTATTTGTTTACCAAAACTTATTCACGTTATAACCCCCCGGCTATAGGCCCCACCTGTATGCATCTATATACTGATAGATATATCTTGATATAAAGTAACACACAAACTGCGGTGACAAAAATAAGGAAAAAACGCATAGTGGGAAAAATATGACTTTGAACTTGACGTTTCGTACACCTCGACATATATACATCTTCAGGAGTAACCGTTAATGGAAGTAACAACAAAACTCAATTACTAACTAATTAATAGAAAATTAAAAAAAAGTGACAGACGGGAAAATTTGTACAAGGAACAATCCTAGTAACTCGCGCGTATATATAGACAAGTACTTACGGTCGAAAATGCAGTCAGTATACCAGAAAAAATCTCGATTTGCTTGAACAAGGGCCGCATGGAATCATTGACTATGATAACGATTCTATCGTTCGAGCCCACATGTTAAAGATGGTTTGAATGACATAAATGAGAAAATCCCCAAAGGGACTACTTAGGTTGATTTTGTGATATTTAATGTACAGTCATATTTTGACACTCTTTTGCGTTATGTGTTATCAGTGAGAATTTGTGGGGCAGCTGTTTTGAAAGTCATGGACCAAAAGACACTCGTTAAGCCCGGATGAAGTTGTAAGGTACGTTCATACACTTCCGTAGTTCTCTCGAAAATCATACCCAATTCCAGACCAAAATGGGCAAATTTTATACCCATTTTCAGACAAAACGGTGCAAAAAACAATTACAGCTTCTTGAACAAATCGTTTTTGCCTTGTTTCTGAGGAAGAACTACAAATAAACTATTATATGACGCATCGCTGAAAAAAAACTAAAGCGGTAACAAAATACGGAATGAACATTTTACGGTAAAACGTACAACTTTTAGTGGTTCTTTGTGACAAATTACCAAAGTGAGACAACGTGCTTAGTCACTGAGGATTCTCATCGACAGAAATACCGGATTTTGGGTCCCAAATATAAACGACGTTTTCGTGAATTCACGTTGTGTAAACAAAGGCTTTTTTACACGTTTTCATCAAAACTTTGTGTAGACTCCAAATGTGGCCGGCTAGATGGTTTCTACTCAAACAAGTAGCTACAACTACGAGAAGCCCGGGCGAGGGTACTCCCTATGATGGCCTATACGAGTAGGCTCCGTCCGAAAGGGGTATCTTTTTCAGGCTTCAAGTGTATGAAAGCGTAGGGATACATTTCACCATAAGTTGAAGTATATAAAAGGGTAGAGAAATCTGTCATTTGGGTCTGTAAAAGGGCCCAAAAGGGCTGACAGATGAATTTTATGGTTTTAAAAAGTCGAGAAAATGTTCTAAATTTTGGGATTGATTCCTATTTAAATGACAGTGCACTTACAGCAGTTAAAAGGGATACAAAGTTTAAAAAAGGTATGTGAAAGGGGTACCATTTGTCGATAGAAGGTATACGACAGGAGTACCTTTTTCGTGAAAAATGGTATATAAATAGGTAAGGGTTGGACCTCGTGTCGGAGCCTCCCCGTATAAACATTTGTTGAGCACCCCCCGGGACGAGAAGCTACGAGTTCGAGTAACCTTGCGAGAAGAGGTTTCTTTTTTGAATGGCGCGGTTATGAAGTCATTCGCGTGGCTTGTCTGTCGCGTCTACGCGACAGTTAAGCCAAGTGCGAACGACTCCGCAAACGCTAAAAGCCATGCAAGAGACAAACCTCTGCTCACAGGGTAAGTTCGAGTTGCATTCTAAGAGTGAAATAGTCAACTGGGTATAGCGCCTCATTGTGATTAGGGAGCTTAAAGCAAAGACGACAGTGACGGCAACGAGAACGTCAAAGAAGCAATAAGGTGAATAGCCTTAGATTTGCTTAGATTGGCAAAACAACAACCTTGTACGTGCATCACGCTTTTTGTACATTTCTTTGTCGTCACTGCGCAAACTCGATGGAATTCTTTTCTAGAAAAAGTTGCCAACATTTAAAGCTTTAAACGAGATGGAATGAGCACGATGAAGTTTGAAGAAGCGCGAATTCACTTTTTAAATGACGTCCTCGTTGCCGTCGCCGTCACCGTCGTTGTTTCCTTAGCTCCCTATCCACCAACAGAAAACTCGACCTCATAGTCTAACTGTAAATTCGTCTTTCAACTGTAACAGTGCTAATAGATATTTTAGTTTAATTCCTCTTAAATATTATTCAAAAATACAGGGGAAATTAGCAGGAGGTGAGGTATATCTCTCAGAACACAATCACAGAAGTTACTGTAGCTCTTTAGAGACATCTTTTACTGTACATGACCTATCTTGGCCAAGGCTCACGCTTGAAGAGTAGATCAGCATGGAAATCTTGTGAACGGATGATAAACTTATAAAAAAAGTCTATTTGCCTACTGCTATTTTTACTTATCACTAATTACTTCAAAAACTGGCGGATATTATCAATCGCTTTTCCAATAGAAGACGCAACACGTACAGTAAACGGGCTATCTTTTACGTGGGCACCACGCAAGCGCACTGACAACCTGTACTTGCCTGAATTGAAATCTGACGGGACAGTATAAGTTACCAAGTAATTACCGTTATTTAAGTCTTTCACATTTGCGTCCACCATCCTCTCTTCAAAGTCATTCTTAAGCTCTACCTTGAAAAAGTCGCCACCCAGCTCGCGTTTACGTTGTTGGGCGTCACGAGCAGTGATAGAGAAGGACGCCTCTTCTCCCAAGTATGCAGTGGTTAATCCCGTGCCATTTACATAGGTGGTTTCTGCACAGGTAGATTTGTCATAAACGACACCTGCCTTATCAAGCCCTCTTTGTAATTCCCTTGGCTCAAACAAGAACTCTGGTACACATTCCGCCTCTGGCACGAGCACCATTGATTGTTTTTCCGTGTTTCGGAGCATCGACTCAAAAACAGACCTGGAGTCGAGAAGCTTGGCATTACCTGACCTCTCGATGGTAAACAAAACTCCATTTACGTTTTTCTCTATGTCTTCTAGAAATTTACGCATTTGCCCTAGCTGATCTGTGAGGATGCCTGTCTTCGCTTTTTGTAGCTGGTTTAACTCATTCATTAGAACTTGCTCTCTTTCAGCAATTGCGTCATGAAGCTATAAAAAAATTAAGACATCAAAAACTTGAAATCTAAACGAAACGGATAGAAAAAGGTGAATTAAAAAAATGAAAATTTTACTTTTAAGTTCTCTTTTTTTAACCGTGGTAAGGAAACCGACCATGTCACACCAAAAAAGGTATTTCGTGTAAATCAAAGTGAAACTCACTTCTTTGAATTTGCTTTGAATTATGGTAGCCTGTTCCTGGCAATTTTTTTCTATGTCAAGACTCGCCTTCATCACTTGAGCTTCTGCATCTCTAATTTGCCCGGTGGTAGCACAAATTATTTCATTGGCATGTGCCTGCATCTCCTGACGGGCATTAGAGGCTTCCTCAGCTAAAGATAAACAATCGTGACCGCTGTGATTTAGCTTGATGCATCTCTTGCAAACCATATGATCACAGGCTTTGTCGAATACATGGAAAGGCTCTTTATGATCTGGACAGAAATTATGTACAGCCCGTGGTTCCAAGGAAACAACGTGGTGATCACTACTTTCTCTGCTGTGAGCGTGAAAGCGAGCTGCACCCTTGCACAAGTCCTTTTTGCAGTTCAAGCAGCAAAAGCTTGCGGGATGCTTATCTTCACAGACTTCGCAGATATATGAACTTTCATTTCCATTTTTCTGGAGTGTGACATTTGCATTAATTATGTCCAACAACGCAAAGTTCTTTGGTAGCCCTGCTACTCCAGCATGAGGTACGTTAACTTCAACTCTGCAGGTGGGGCACTGAATTTTGTTATCAGCAGTGAGAAAACGCTCCAGGCAGCTCGTACAAAAGCTGTGACCACAACTCAGTATACGAGGGCAAATGTTTTGATCATCAAAAGGGAGGCAACAGACTGAACACTCTAGTCCTTCTGCAGATGCCATTGTCTGAAAAAAAAAAAACGGAAAACGTGTTGAAACTAAATCTCTGCACAGTCAGGCCAAGTAATCCTGAAGGCAACAATCATGGCATTTATTTGCAAGCGCGGATAAGCTTGGTCGGTTGGGTTGATCTCCTGGGCCGGACCAATACTCAGCGCTTTAAAATATCTGAGAACTGAAGTTACTGTCTTTGCCCTGCACTACAAATAGCCGGCAGACATTCGCATGGCTCGGATGACCACGATGAAACGCAGGTACCATAAGTTCATGAGCCGTGAGAATTGCTGTTACATAGTTAACAACTTCGTACTTCTTGACTTATACCGGTAATTTAGCAAACCAGGGGTAACTTATTTGCTCCTATGACCGTCTGTGGCTCACGTGATATATATTTAGACACTCAGTATAATCATCACTTCGTCGTAAAAACTTATTGCATATAGCTCTTTGTTTTTTGTTTTGTTTTGTTTTGTTTTTTTACATAACTTTTTCACTTCGTTGATTCAGGGGAATAGCCCCTCTATGGAGTTTCGGTTTCGTGTTGTTGTAAACCTGAAGTGTAACGTTATGTGATTTCTACAAATAAAAACGTTGTTGTAAAAAAAGCATCTTAATCCTTGGTTAAACTTCTTAGGATTTCAGTCCGTCAATATAGAAAAACTGCGTACATTCATTTCACTATCAAAAGACCGGTTCAAAATAACATGCTGACTCATGGCAAAGTCACAGTCAGTGCGCACAAGATCAGTAGTCACAATTATTTACCGATGAAGAGTTGTTTGCTGTAAATGCATGTTAATGATTGAGTGCACAGCAAATTCAATTTACCTAAAATTTATTAAACATTTTAAATAAAGATATTTTTATGATTTCCTAAAAATGAATATGACTGCTCATCAATCAAATTCAAAGACTCAGCACGGATTTAGGTCAATCTGAGTAAACTGAACGCTTGACTGTGCGAACGGCCAGCGATATTTAGATCATTTTCTGGGTAATACTCTACCAGGACCCCCTACCAGATGATGGAAAACCCAGGTATATGTCCTCCAAGACATCGTGGTAATTTAACAACTGAATTTTATACTTTATCACCAAATCCACTTTCACTGCTAAGATTAATGAAGAGTGCTAGAAAGAGCAATGAACCAATATTCAACATTTCGTCATATGCTAAAAAGCACTGATGTTCAACAGCTGAAAAGGTTTAGTTTCACGGCCTAATGTTAGATCAAGTTTAGGTGTTAAAGTACATGTCATGTCTGAGAAAGGGAAGGGTGAAATTCAGACGCAAATATGCCATGGCAGGATTTTCGGATTTAGAGTAGTGTAACAAGCCATACATGACCGCAGCTATTGTTGTGCGAGTTATCAGTAGATTTTTTGCAAGAAACAAGCCTTACATACCTTAATCAAGAGAGACTGAGATGCCATAAGAGTAGAATTTAAGTCAATATGATTCCTAGGACCAACACCACTCCCAGATAAATTTATATGCTCACAAATAGACCTGGAAAAGAAAAAGGAACGGAGCGTACAGGGTAAAGCCTACGTTTGAATGATAAAACAACAAGGGTAAGATTTATGCGGTAGCGCCATGCATTTATTCTGCACACTGTGTCGAATCTGTTCTTATAAACTATTTGCGCGAAATAGTATTAAACGATTCATAATGTCTTCGTAATTGACTCTCTGTGAGATTGAAAGAGTTCAAACAATTCCGAGACATCAGGCTGAGTGATTATGAATTTGATTGAATTTGGCTATTCTGTTGCCTTAAAATAACCCTTGCTTTGCTTGACATATTCTTATTAAAAAAGTTGTAACTTGTACCTACCTTAAGTGACGCAAACAACTCAATAAAGCGAGTGGAAGAACTTCTTTCACCACATCTCCACCGACAACACTTCGATCCGCCCTCTTGACGAGAACTATGCTCTCGGTCGTAAAACAAACATTTTACTTCTGCATGTGAGGGGATGGTAGGGAATCTTTTGACCATGGCCCAGGTCCGCACGGGGTTTTGGTGTGAACGCGTCCTGGGTACCAGTACAGATAGATTGCTACCTTTGGGGCCGACTATTTGACTTTTGAGGGGGTGGCATAGGGGGGTTGGGTGATATGGTTTGGGTAAGAATTTCTTTTCTCAAACCTCTGGAGATAGAATTTTTTCCCCGACATACAACCGTTTAAGGATTTTGTTAGCATGTAGATATTTTTTTTCAATGCAGGAACGTTTCCCCAGGTAAAATTTTCACTTTTTTTCTCGTTCGAAATCAGTCTGCGGGATATTTTTGTCTGAAATCACCCATACCCCCCGCTACCCCCCCCACACAAAGAAAAACATGCTATCTGTTTAGATTTGTTGTTGATTTGAATATTTTTTTTTTATAGAGGTATTTCTTCCTCAGGTATAAATTTCTCTTTTTTTTTCTTTAAAAACTGTACGCGAGAAATTTTTTTTATATAACCCCCCCCCCCCCCCCCCCCCCCCCATCAAAAGAAAAATGGTTGGCCCCTTATAAATAGGTAAGGCTACATGCCGACATGACCTCAATGTAAAAAGGTCATCGCAATCTTCGTTATTAGCTAAAGGAAAAGCAGGTTCTCAAACTACTGTTAAATTTTCCGAAATCTCCTGGCGCCTTTGACGTCACTATATACTGTTCTTTTATGAACAAGTTGGGAAGCGCAATTATTTTTCAGGAAATTCCCAGATGAAGCGATTGTGCGAAATTAGCCTGTGGTACAGCTAAGAAGCTGAAAAAAAAGTGAACGTTGCTGGCAGATCTGAAAAACTATTGCTGAGCACAAAATTCCACGTTTTAAGAGAGTTTTGAGGAACAATTTTCGTCTACGAATGAATAATAGTGAATTTTCAACAGAAGGGAGAGGGTTAAAAGTGGGAAAAAGGAAGCGACGTTATTAACACTAATGCATCGTGCGCATCGCTTAATAATTAATTTTTTTTTTTTTTAAGTTTAGATTGAGTCTCTTGTTTTAAAAAAAAGCAAAGGTTGAGTCCTTCCTTTTAAAAAAAGACTTTGAGTCTGTTTTTCTTTTATGTATAGATTTACTTTTTTTTTTCTTTTTAAAGTATAGATTAAGTGCCTGTAAGTGCCTGTAAGCAGTAATGTGAAAAAAAAACTAACAAGCTTCTCAGTTCGAAAAAAAAACTTAGGATTTGGGAACTCAAGTTTTCGTAAACAAACTGAATTGACGCACAGAAGTCGAATGCTCTAACTAATGTTGAGTTATTTTACTGGCTACATCGGACAACACTTTGTAAGTCTTGCGGCGTAGTAACGATGCCATGTGTACGGTAAAAGGGCTTCCTTGAATGGGAGCACCCCGTAAGAGTACGCTCAATTCGTAATCAACCCGCTTAGCACCTCTGGGGATAGTGTAAGTTACCAGATAATTTCCATCTCCTTTGTCCTGAACATCCGCGCTAACTTTATCTTCTAATTCGTTTTTGAGCTGAACTTCAAAAGTATCGCCACCAAGATCGCGCGCGCGATTTTTAGCGTCACGAGCAGTGATAGTGAAAGACGCCACCTCCCCCGGATTTGCGTGTTCAAGACCCGAACCAGCAGCTGTAGTTGTTTCTGCACACGTGGACTTGTCCACGACCACACCCACATTACTGAGTGCAACTACCATTCGCTGTAACTTCCTTTCATCACAGCGGGTAAACTCTGGTACAAACTGGGCTTCTGGCTCAAGCAATAGATATTGGTTTTCGGTGGCGGCTTCGAGTGTAGACTCTACAGCGGATCTGACGTAAAGGATATTAGCGTTATCAGAGGATTGGATCGTCGATAAAACGCTTTGGACGGTACCCTTTATGCAGTCTAGACAATTAGCCAAGCGGGCTCGTTGCTTTGTGAGTATGGCTGCCTTTTCGCTGTGTAGTGTCTCCAACTCATTCATCAAATCTTGCTCTCTGGTTGTGATTGCGTCATGAAGCTATGGCATAATAAAAACAAAGAAATAAACAAACAACAGCAAAAAAGTAGATCATTTCAGGAGTTACTAAGAAACGATCAGTACTTAGGCGGCAGGGTTCTATCTAGGATTTATCGTTTGGGGGAGAATTCCCGAGTGGCCGAAGGGCACGAGCTTCCTAGGGGGTTCCGGGGACATTCCCCCTCGATAATTTTTTGAAATGAATAGGCGCTGAGATTCAATCTGGTGCATTTGAGACAATTTTGAGAAATGTTACGGTGGTATTTTATTCTACTTTTTGGTCGAGATCACGTTCGGACACTACACAGTTAGCTCCGATATTTGCTAACGTGAAAAGAAAAGTTACCCGACATGTCTAATTGCACAAATATTTATACATGCTCGTTGACTTGTTAGTACGTGAATAAAATAAATAAACTTAACGACGACACTTGTAATACTCGTGATCCATGTCCCTTGTCATATAGCGTCCTTAGACAGGGAATACTTATTTCATGTGCACTGATCTCGTCGCGTCTGGATGATTTTTCCGATATAGTTACTTTTAGTAATTTAAAAATACTGTAATGATAACAATATTTTTTTTGGGGGGGAAGCTTCTACCCCTCAAATACCCTAGATAGAACCCTGGGTGGGCAGATAAATAGTTAGGTTGGGGAGTAACCAGACTTTGTGCTGCTTTCTGAGATTCTTGAAGCCAAGGTTTAGGTACCGCCATATCAAATGAGTTTAATTTAATTGATTCAAAATATATGTAAAAATTCACATGAAACAAAGACAAACTCACTGTTTTAAATACGCTTTGAATTTTGGCCCGCTGTTCATCGTACGCTTTTTTCATGTTAAGACTTGCATTTATCACCCGAGTTTCTGCATCTTTAATCACCTCTGCTCGAGCACTTGCTTGGGATGCGAGCGTTTCCATCTCCTGTTTATACTTTGAACCAACGTCAGCTAAAGATAGAAGCCTGTGGTTCTTATGCGTCAGAGTAACACAGTTCTTACAGACCATGTGATTGCATTCTGCATCGAACAAGCGGAATTGTTCTTTATGTTCAGAGCAGAAAACGGACACGGCCAATTGCTCCAAGGAAACAACTTTGTGGTCACGACTCGCCTTGTTACGAGTGTGAAAGCGAGCTGCAGTTTTGCACATATCGTAATCGCAATCCAGGCACCAAGAGGTTGCAGGGTGCTTGGTTTCACACTCTTCGCAGTTATGCAAACCTTCTACGTCTTGAGGTGTGGTGTTACCAATTTTCAATAATGCATAATTTTTTGTCAGTCCTGCGACACCAGTGGGAACAGACGTTTTTTTTCTGCAGTCTGGGCAAGAAATGGAATTATTCTTGACTAACTTCTCTAGGCAGCTTGTACAGAAGGTGTGACCGCAAATGAGAAGCCGAGGACAAAGATCTTGATGATCATAAAACTCACGACAGATAGGACATTCGGGTTCTTCAGCAGATGCCATTGTGGTCTGAAAAGAAAAAAGGAATCACTTAGAAACTGAATAATATACACAAAGGGTAAAGTTCCAGGGCCGTACCTAGGTTTTTGCAACCGGGGGTGGGGGGCATTATCGGGAGTGCCGAAGGCAAGAGCCTTGTGAGGGGGTCTGGGGGTATCCTACCTCAAAAAAGGTTCACATTTAGAGGCTCCGAAACGGTTTTTTCAGCCCTTTCCATGAGATATGTCTCCGAAGAATCGACCTCAAATCATGAAAATGGCAAACAATTGCAAGTCACTATAATCAAAATAACTGAGTCTAAAGAAAACAAATCCATCCACAGGTTGGCTCAACAGGTTCAGGAACTGGGTTCAAGGTAACCTAATCCACACTCAGCACACTTTATTTTTAAATTTAAACGCACGCGATTTCCAGCAGCAAACTTCTTTTAAAGTCTATTAAAACGGGTGGATTGCAAGCATGTCGCATAGAAAATACAGACAGTGTTGTAACCTACACACAGTTGAAGTACCGTAAAATTCCGAAAATAAGCCCATTCATGTATAAGCCCCTCCAAATATATGCCACCGCCCCCTTAACTCGTAACGCAAAAAAACCCTCCATAATATAAGCCCCCGGGGACTTGTACCAGGAAATTGCCCTGAAATACAACATGAAACAAAGCAAGAATGGTACAGTAACACATAATTGTTTTTGTTTGCCAAAGAACTATTACTCATGCCAAATGATTGCAGTCAGACTGAGTGTCACAGTATATGGCTGTTTGCGTAGTTAACTCTTCACTCTTGGTTGGAATTTTTCGATCCCTATAGACAAAGTACTTGCATGGCTTAGTTTTAGAACAATCTACGTCCTCATGGCGAGTTTCAGTAAAAACTTCGTGCTAATTAATGACATACATTTCCTTCCAACTACAAGCTAGCCAATCGATTTTAAGACGCAAATTTCCCTCCATGTATAAGCCTAGCCGATTTTGAAACGCAAAATTCCCTCCGCACATATAAGCCCCTTCGAATATAAGCCCCTCCAAAAAAGCCTCTTAAAAAGGGCCTTTAAAAAATATAAACCCGTGGGCTTATTTTCGGAATTTCTACGGTATACTATCATTGAAGCGAAACAGGGTGTCTCGAAGGGGTATAGTTATTTGCTAAGTGTAAAAGTGTTATTGGTGCTAAGTGTAGTTATGAGCTATAAGTGTAAACACATCAGTTTACTATTGAAATTAAGTATAATAATGATGTATACGATACGATACGAAGTATAATCAAAAGGTGCCTATGGCTAACTTGTGGATTAATGAACTTGCAAAGCCGTACTTTGACTCATTTAGTGGCATTTGAAGTGAAGTGAAGTGTCTCGCAAAACTGTCGCGAAGTCTCTTGCTGAAGGCGTTGTACAGCTTGCAATTCTCGGCGTTTACATGAGGAGAATCAATTACGTTTCAGCAACAGTACAGTAAACATTTCCATTTTTATTGAACAAAGAAACATTTCATTTCAGAATGATATTTCCCTAAAAACCATAAGACTGAGAGTCTTGTCGTGAGAAAAGATAAAAAAATCGTGAGCTTGGACCAGCTTGAGAGTCGAAGAGCAATTGCTGATCTTTTCGTCATGTTCACCCGGTGTTTATCGCCTGGACGAGTCAAAAAGCTTCAAAAGTTCATAAACTTTTGTCTCAAAGTTGGCCATAGTGCTAATTTGAAACGTTCAAAGTCCACATAAACTGACAACTCATCGTCCTGTGAAAGGTACAAAATCATAACATCAAAAGCTCTGGGCACAATGCACGCTCAGCACTTCTTGATCGCGGAACGGGAATGATCGATCTACGAAAGTTGTCGTTGTGATATCGGGCGCTTTCGTGCGGAGCCGACTAATTACGAAAATGTCCACACCTGCGTGACACATTTGCATATCGCAGTGCCCAGAATAACTTGTTCCTTACGCTACGCGTAATCCAGAATTTAAAAACAGACTCGAAACAGATGAGGCGATCTACTGAAATTCTCTGGGAAATGGTGACGTCTTATGATCAATAGTTTAACTTTTAACCGCCTCTACGCGAGAGTAACCAAGATGCATGGTGGTTTCAAGAAATAATAATTTCTTATGTCTTATATATATGCAGGAGCAATAACCGTTCTATATCAGTTATATTACATGCTGACTGAAATTCAAATGTAATTCAATGCACACACCATGGGTCTTTGTGGACTGATTTGAAACTTAGAAGTACATTTTATGTTCCATATTCAGCTCTGGAAGTGAAAGCGTGTATTAAAATATACCCATCGCTGATTGTCAGTTTCATTCTGGCGGAAATATAGCATATATATATATGGCGTAGCTTGACCAACGTCTTCTCTGGAAAGTCTATTTTCGATATAGCTCAGATTTATGTTATATCCTATAAAACCTCTACTTACCTTTAAAGAAGCAAATAAGTCAATATGATGAGTGTAGACACTTTTTATTAGCACGATTTCACTGTCAACACCACTTCCGCCTTTCAGTCAGTGCCTTGGCCGGTGCAAGTCTACTCTCGCAAATAGGCCTGGGGCTGGTCAATTCATTTCTTATATGGGAGGGAGGAGAGGGAGGGTGGTTGGATGGTGTACCCAGTGCATCCAATCCACCATCCTATCTTGAAAGCAACTGATTTATGCTCGTTATTACAGTTTCAGAACAATCAAGTTAAATTTGGTTAAGTCGCCGCTAGAACTTTATTCCATTTCTTATAATTGACTTTGGAAGTGGAACAATACTGATTATTAATATACATATATTAGTTATTGGCTTTTAGCCTTACACTGAGTGATGGCAGAACTGATTGTTTTATTGCTTATACAGTATTGCTAGACTGCAATTATACTATAGGCTAAACAAGCTATACCAACCTTCCATTGAAACAATTTAGTCTGTATAATGTTGATAATGTCTATGCTGGGTAAAAAAATCCTTCTAACCACAATGCTACTACCAACACTATCTCCGCATTCATTCGGCTAAGATAAATCGCGGCCTGTGACTTGGAACTGTTTTACTTTTGGAGTAAAAGGAGGTTAGATTAATGTATATGGTATAATCGTATATAACAATATTTCTAGAGTGTTCAACTTTTCAGGAGCAATAATTTGGCAACGCAGTATATATTGTCAGCATGTAAAATTAACGGTCACTCGCTAAAATTGCCTGATGAGTGTGGTCACCTTTAGACCATGATACGAAACAGAGCTGTAGCAATAAAGCTATGTATAACCTCTGAAGCCTGGAACTATCTTCCAATTGCATTATTAGTATAATCATATATATGTCTGATTGTCCAAGCATCACCGAGCTCGCGATGGCTGGATAATTGCTAAGCTCTTTCTCGCGTTTTCATGGACGGAGATACCCTGTGTAGAGGTCCTTTTTTGTTAATTCCTAGATAACTGGGAAAGAGGTAAGGACCCCCTCTTCCTGACCCATCTAGGAAGATCGAATGGCTTGTGCTCGCAGGGTAGGACCGAGATGAAGGTACAATCCTTACATTGTTTATTGTGAAAAACAAAATGCTTGTCTATGATTACTATATAAAAAAAGGAACCACTCTAGTTGGACGACAGTGGTATATAAATATATATGAATATACATGTAAAAGATATCCGTTGCCCTGACAAAGTCTTTTACTATAAAAGACGAAATACCGGCAAGAGTAGTTTTTTCCAGTTTTGGGGGGTTATATAATGCAGTTCTGGAGTTACCATCTTGACTTGGATGTTGGTTGATGTGCTGTAAGAATATCTGAGTATATTTTGGGTATTTAATGTCACAAACCAATTGATAACTGATAAAAATATGCTAAAAGATTGCTCAACGCTGAGTGAGTTTACTAGCTACATTCGAAAACACTTTGCAAGTCTTGCCGCGTAGTGATGATGCTATATGTACAGCAAAAGGGCTGCCTTGGATGTGAACACCTCGCAAACGCACGCTCAATGTGTAATCAACTCGTTTAGCACCTGAAGGAATAGTGTAAGTAACTACGTAACTACCATTTTTTTCGTCCCTAACATTCACTCTAACTTTCTCTCGTGATCCGCTTTTAAGCTCTACTGCAAAAGCGTCTCCACCCACGGTACGTTGGAGACCTTGAGCGTCAAAAGCAATGATAGTGAAAGATTCCTCCTCTCCTCGTTTTGCGCGCTCCAGTCCTGAGCCACAAGCAGTGGTGGTTTCTGCACAGGTCGACTTATCGCTGACTGTACCGAACCTGTTGACACCGTCCTGCAAGTATTGCAGTCTGCGACGATTAAGGTTAAACTCCGGAATACATTGTGCCTCAGGCTCAAGCATGAAGGATTGCTTTTCTATGGCAACGAGCGTGGACTCTAAATTGGCGCTGGCGTCAAGGAGATTGGCATTGTCCAATGATTGGATGGTCGACAAAACAACTTTGACGGTACTCTCTATATTTTCTTGATATTCGCGTAGGCGGTTCCGCTGCTCTGTCAGGATAAGCGTCTTCCTATTGTGTACTTGTTGCAACTCATTCAGCAAAATTTTCTTTCTTGTTTCGATGGCAGTGCGAAGCTGTAAGACAATTAGTATAAAACCGATAATAATATTCTAGAAATCTATCTAGGGAACAAATCCTAAGTGGTTGTGTGATATCAATGCCGGGAAAAGAGTAAGACCTCATTTAAAGCTCATCAACCGAGGTTAAGATCGGTTCAACGAAAAAAACAATTGAGTCAAAGACTTACCTCTTTGAATACACTTTCAATTCGAGCTCGCTCTTCGTCGCAAGACGCTTTCACATCAAGACTCGCATCCCTTACACCTTCTTCTGCGGCTTTGATTACCTCAGCTCTAGATCTGGCTCTAGTGGCACGTCCTTCCAATTTCTCTTTACATTTCGAACCGGCTTCGGCCAGAGACACAACTTGGCGACCCCGGAAACCGGTAAAGCAGCTCCTACAGATCATACAATTACGCCCGACATCAAATAAACGAAATTGC